AGGGGAGGAGGAGGGGGTGGGAGAGAAGAGAAAAGGGGAAAGCCCTGGAGAATTCTTGCAGCTCTCCTTCTAAGCCCTGCTGCAGGGCAGTAAGGACGTTACCTCTAGCCTCCTGGGAATTGCAGAGTCCTCATGCTTCTTAAGTTCTTCGAAGGTGCGTAACTCTAAGTAGGCCTGCTCAATCTGGTCCCATAAGTCGTTCAACTGCTTCATGAGCCCCATAGCACGAGANTCCAACACTTTAAAAGTGCCTGGCATACAAGTCACTCAGTAAACATTTGAATTTTGGTTGTCTGTCATTCTCAATAAACTGTAAGCTCCACAAAACAGGAACTATGCCTGTTTTACTCACCGTTCTGTCTCCAGGACTCGGACAATAAATATCTGATTAATGAATGTATCCTTCTCTCCCTCCCTTTTAAGTCCCTAATATTCTAAGATTAGGCAAATTTTTTTGGTGACTCCAACACATTGTTGGCCTATATTGAATGTGTAGCCAACTAATACTGCCCTAAATGATTTCCTATGCATTGTTACAAAGTTAGATCTTCTCACCTCTACCCATCCATTCCCCAAATTCTACATCTGTGTGACTGACTTGTTAAGATAAACACAGAGCTTTAATAATTGAAGTTTGACAGCCCTGCTGAAATTAATCTTTAAAATGCCTTTGTCAGAAAACTTTTACAAGAAAATAACAAGTCAAGAAATCTTGAGCCCTAATCCATAAACTACGTATGTAAGTAGCTGGGCAGAGAAGAGATCTTCCCTAAAATTATATTGGAGGGAAGAAAAAAAAAGAGGTATTAAAAAGTTAATCTATCTTGTCAGTATAGAGACAAATGACCATTCTATGCTAAAACAGTAAAAACTAAAAACTAACAAAGCCACAAAAGGATTGCCTCTTTGGGGTTTAAGTTAAGATACTGGGTCACCATTTGACTACAGAGAGTTATTCATTATTTCCTGGTTTGTGGGCACTCTAAAAGTATCCAATTACTTCAAACAAAAGGCTACATCCTCAATTTTTTTATTTTGTTTTTATTCAAGAGTATACTCACAGGCAGCACTTTAAAATCAAGCTTTTAAGATAAAGGCCGAAACTTTAAAAAAATCTGCAAATATGACACTGCTAAAAGAATGATTGTCATAATAATTTAAACCCTAAAATGTCTTGTGGAGTTAAAGTCTTTATACATAGAATGTGTTAGATCGATATCGTTTAAAATAAACAACCAAAAAACCACAGATTATGGGCAAATTTGTCAATGAAGATAAACATCAGTTTCAGCCTTCCAGAGTATGAAAACCAGAAATTAATTATCTTGTGACAGAATATACACTGTGCTTCATATTTTAGAATTTAAAGATTCTTTCTCCATCAGCAAATCAGCATATCTTTGCTGAAGTTCCTTCTCTCTTTCCTGTTGTCGCTGAACATCTTCTTTTAGACACTTGAAGAGACAAAAATATTAAATAATTATTTCATAAGTAAGCACTGAAAATTAAAAAGGATCTTATGGTACTTTATCATCTTACAAACAGCTGAGTTCAGTCGTATTGACTCTTAGGAGGCAAGCATTGCCCAAAGAGAAACAAAAATAGCACCTACTTTTGCTATAAAACAAATACTACTAAGGCCCTTCTTTGATTAGTCAGATGACCGCCATCTTTTTGTAAAATCTCTGCTTCTATCTCAAATAAACAAACCATTATTGTACTATCAATACCAAAAAATGCACTTAAGCCCTGCCTGCATTTTATCTTGGCAGGGGCTATCATGCGCACTCAGGAAATCAAGTTAATCGAATGTGACCAAAGGAACTTGATGGTTTGGAATGACTACCTATATTCCCAGCACCCTAAATTACCAAACAAAAAGATACCAGTTTAATGTACCTTGGAGAGCTACATGAATGGGACACAATTTGTTTCAGGGGGATATATCACAAGGGTACTTATTTCATTTCATAATGTATCTTTATACAAAACAGAAAACTAGTAAAGGAAAAGCCTTTGCATCGCTGGTCTCCTATCTCCATCCACACCCAGGCAATTCTAGATCAGAAAAGCTTAGGCCCTCACTGGAAAAGGCCAGACAGTATCCACTTCAGAAGATAGCCAGGGAGAGGGGGAGGGAGGGNCTGCTTCATGAGCCCCATAGCACGAGATTGGTAACCCCCGAGCAAAATCTTCATCTTCTTTTCCATCTTTGCAGCTCTCTTGGCTTCTGTTGTCATGTGACCCCTGTTTATCTGGGGGGAGATCACATCAGCACACATGAGAAAAGCAGGCTAAACAACAGAACTGAAAAGGCAATACTGGCTCAAAGTAGAAGCACAGTAGAGTTCCTTATACTTCAGCTACCATAACACAAAATTAGGCTTAAGAAGGCTCTGTCTTGCACCTGAAGGGTTTTACAGGTTAGTCCTAAATAACATATTTATAGTAATTTCACCCATAATTCAATCTCAAAGCAGCCCTGAATGTCACAGTATGGAAAAACTAATCTCTACTTCTGAAAATAACTTCTGCTATCATTAATCTGCATTGATTCTGGAACTACCAGCGACTCATCTTCACCACCTATAGCTCAAAAATGTACTTCTACATTATACTTGTACATTTTTAATAATTGTGATCAAAACATAACCCCTCAAATTATAAAATTACTAGATTATTTTTATAATGTAAAAATCCTAAATTTGGCATATAACCCATTAAGGAAAGAGAGTATCACATTTGTCAACACAATTTTCTTTTTACTTTTTAAGGAGTGAAAGGACATCATAAAATTAAGAAAAATGAGTTTTCTATAAATATATATATTGAGCACAGGTGGGCTTCCTCCTCAGATCATTCTAAAATTAGAGGGAAAGACTTAAAAATGTATAAACCCACAAAAGAACAAGAGAGGAGCAATTAACAGAAGAAAGATTTGAGCCCGGCCGGGCGTGGCTCAGCGGTTGAGCGTCGACCTAAGATCCTAGGCAATCGGGGTTCGATTCCCGGTCAGGGCACATGCCTAGGTTACAGGCTAGGCAGCTGGTCAATGACTCTCTCATCATTGACGTTTCTCTCTCTCTCTCTCCCTCTCCTTTCCTCTCTCTGAAATCAATAAAAATATATTAAAAAAAAAAAAGAAGAAAGATTTGAACAAAATTCTAAAGCTGATACACAGTCAAAGAAAGCCCCAGCTGAGAAGGTCTAAGGAAAGGTGGAGGAGAAGGGAAGAGGTGTGTATGCAGAATCCCATTGGCATAACATCCCATTGGTATATTCTGCACCCCACTTTAAAGTGACCTGCAAATGCTTGCTTTCAACATACAACACTTAAAATTGTGAGGTCAAAGCCTTAATAATTATTAAATCAGGGTTGATTTCTTTGTGTGTGTCAGTTCTTCCTCTCCTCCCTCCCTCCACTTCTTCTTTCCACCCTCCCTCCCACCTGGTCCCCTCTCACACTGATTCCATTCCATCAAGTGGCCTCCATAAACAAAATTAAGTAGCTTCAGGATAAAGGATCCCCCAATGATACTCTTTAATTCATAATAACAAGATTGAGAGCACCCATAACAAAGGAGACAGATGACAATGTAAATACTTTTTTTTTCTGCGATACTAAATGTGGGGGGTAGCAGTAAACAAGCAGAAAAGGTACCAAGGGAAAATGTCAAATGTAAAAGGCTAATATGAAAACTGTACATAGGATGTTTTTTAAATATTTATAAATAATATAATCACCAAAACTAATATATAGCTTTCCATGATAACTTTGAAACATACACTTCAATGAGTGATATCTAATTTAAAAATAAACATGCCAATATCAATGCTTTATGTAAAATCAGAATATATAAGAACACCAAAAAATGAAGTGTTCCTTGAAATATAGGTACACTTTTACTGGGAAAATGGTATTTCATTTTTTCCAACTCAGTTTATTAAAAGCCAAAGTCAGATAAGCTTTGGAAAGGGGAGCAGAGGAAGGACGTTACATGAGATTAATCTAAAATTAATTTAAGTAAAGCTCTTTTAAAACCAGTCGTATCTTCAGCATTTTGTAAGTTAATAAGCTTTCATTCCTCTGTAATTCACCTGAAGAATAAATCCATGAATAAATAGTATCTTTTATGAAGGAGCCATTTTCCTCTAATAGATAATAAATAGAAATACATTCCACGGCAATGATATATCTGCTAAGGGTCAGGGAATACTGGATGAAGAGAGCTGGCACAGCATAGGTGCTAAGAGTAAGTCACTCTTCCTCCCCAGCACTGCCACCCAGATATTCTGAGCTGATACAAGTTATTTGACTTGTGTCTCTATTTCTCCATCAGTAAAATGGCAGCCATTGCTAAAAGTTATTATGAAGCTTAAATAAGATAATGTATGTGATATGAAAGCCTTTAGCTGCCCAGTGACTGGCACAGAGTAAGCAGTCAACAAATGTTAGCTCTGATTACAATTATTTTATAGACACTAAGAGTTTAAACATTTTTGCTCGCCTCTCTAAAAGACCAAGGGACTATAAATGAGGCTTTAAAACCTTCTTTATAATTCCAACTTTGATAAAAAAAAATGACATGGACCCCTTCCTGGAAATAAAGCAAGGAAAAACACCTGTTCCTCATTTTAAGGGAGCAGTTCGCCTCCTGAGGACCACCACACCATGTAACTAGAGCACATCTTTTCAAGCCAGTGGTTTTCAACCCCTGCTAAACTTTAGAATTATCTATAGATCTTTAAAATCTACCAGTGCCAGTGTACTAAACCCAGGGACCCTTATTTAATGGTCTCAGACCTCTGTATTTTTAAAGCCCCTGATGATTCTAATAGACAATCAGCCATTGTCATTACAGAAACTAGATATCAGCTATCTTCTCTTAACTAGACCTACCAAAAAGTCCTCATACCCAATAACAAGTAAAAAATAAAACCCATGAGTTCCTTCTATTATAATTCAGCATGTTCTAAGGATACCAACATCTGATACTCTATATGTGGATTCAAATACACATTCCAAAAACCTTAACAGCACAGAATTTCAAATTAATATATATTGGG